TAAAATAAAATAAAATCCGTGTTTGTCTAAATAGGGAAAATGAATGATTAAGTTGCTTCCATTATTGCAGATAGATGCAACAAGTGAGAGCAATTGAAATGATTGCTCATATTTTTTTGTGCTGTGTATTTTAGAACATTTGAGAATTAAATCAAATAAAAGCATCAAGTCACAGTTCCAATATAATAAATTTGAGAATGTGAAGATATTATATTCATTTTGTTCCAGGTATCATATAGGTATTACTGAAATAACCATTATTCTAAAACAAAATTGGTTTAGAACCATATCTCAGATCATCACTGAATCTTCACAAACAGTATCCTGACTTAAAGATTGTTTTTATATCCCCCAACAGTATCAACTTGTGAATCAAGCTCATTTTGTCCCCCAAGTCTATTTTTCTTCAAAGAGCTTTTTAAAGCCTGTCCAGATTAATCAACAAGGGAAACAGCACTGATCAATAGACTGAGAACAACATTTAATAAATGTTTTAAAGACTTGTTAGTGAAGCTTAAAAAGCTGGTCACTGAAATATTAAGATAATTTTTTAGAATGTTTTTTATTTACAACAGACAGTTTAAAAAAATTGGCCTGGAACTCTGTAACAAGCCTCACAACTTACTGATGATGTAAGTCCAACACAACAAGAATTTTATTCTCTAAATTTTGTTAAATGGTTGTAATCTTGTTCACAAGAACTTAATATTGAAAAGGATATTGAAATCAAAGTGTGTAAGAAACAGAAATAAAGGATAAAAATAATAAGGGAATGTTTAAGAAAGGGGAAAAATAATAGTGTTAGAAGACAAGTAGTGGGAACAGGAAGAAAAGAAGGCAGAAAAAAAATAGCTCTTGGGAGTTGTTTCTACTGAAACTAACCCCCTCATTGAGTTTGCCATTCTAAGACTTTTGAATCAGAGAACAAAATAAAACAAACAGATAGTTAACTTAGATTATAAGGGCTTCTAAATTTCCTTGGATTCACAAAGAATTCTTATTCTTGTCACATAAAACAATTTATCAGGGGGGATGGGCACTATCACCAGTCCAAATTCTAATGGATTCACATTTAAGTGTCCTTAGCGAGGCCAGCAAAAACATACAAATTCTGCCAAAGGAATACACTGATAGATTTTGTATGAAGTGTTTTCTTTTGTATAGTTAACATGTATTTGAAAATAATTTATTATTATTCCAAGTTATTTTCTAATTTACTTTTATCTAGGTCAGTAAAAATGTTATAATAAAGGATATAAAACAAAACCTTCACCTATAACACTGCAACTGTAGAATACAGGTTTCTACCAGATACCTTAATTTGTTACATTGCTACAGATATAAGGCAAATTTTACATCAGATCCCATGTGGGTATATTTATGTATGTATACATGTGTGCACGTTATTTGTGTATATGTGCATACGTATATCTCTAATAGAGGGCAAGTTTGATCTACTCAATTCTTACTTCAGCTATATTTTTGAATCCTTATGTTGAGTTTGACTATATACTATATGAGAATACAATGGCCAAAAAAAAAATGTCTTCTACTAATAGAACTTACAGTCTAGAGGAAGAGAGGAATATTAACTTAGGTGTAAAATAACAAGAATTAGAAGTGCAATGAAGAAAATACACAGAATTTCATGAAAGTCTGTAAGAGAATGCATGACTAGCATGAAGGAGTAGCAAAAACTATGATGAGTAAATTATATTTTAGTAGAGATAATAAGGATTACAAGTTAACAGGCAAGGATATGACATGCAGGGGTGGAAAAAGCCCAAGTGTAAGAATCATGGCAATCTTGCAGGACTAAAAGAAAGTCAGTGTGGATAAAATACAAGTACATAGTGGAGATGGATGTGAAGCTAGATTTGAAAAAACCATACTATGAGTGGGATTGCATTTTTGATGGAATACTTTTGGAAAACTAGCATCTTAAGAAAATGGATTCTACTCAACACATGATCCAGTACACCCCTCTATTTCTTGATATCTTCGTCAACCTTTTGATTTTAGCCTATAAAATTTGAAGGTATTTTGTCAGATTTAACCCTAATGATTTTATATGTTGATGCTATTATCAATGGTAACTTTTATTTTAATTTCTAGTGCATTGCTAGTATATAGAAATAAAAAGCCTGATGTTATGGGTAGATACTGTATTTAGCAATTTTGCTAAATAATTTACTTTGTGAAGAGTGATACTTAACAAGGTTCTTGTTTATCTTTTTAAAATTGTATTTTCTTGTGTTTTGTTGTGTTAATCCTAATGCCAGTGATTTGTCATAGAATCAATATAATTTGCTGGATCTGTAATACCAGAATATCTCCCTCACTCCACTTGGGCAAAGCCACCTACAAATCCAATCTCCCCAGTTTAAGTATACCTGTGGTTCCTAGCAGGTGTCCTTGTAAGTCACAGCTGGTCCTAGATTTTAGTTAGTGGCCTTATGATCCTCAAGCTTCTTTCTCCAAATACAAACTAAGCAGAGAATTAAGCATTTATCCAAACTTCTATTATAATGCAAATAGCTCTGGAAAATTTCTCACACTCAGTTAAAGTGGGGAAAAAAATAGAATCTTAAACAGCTCTCAATGGGAAAAGTCTTGATTGAATTAGCTAGCTGATTTATCTTCCTATTCCACTTTGTGGTTTGAAACCTAAAATGTACTGGTGTTTTAAATTGTCACAGAAATTTGATAATGAAAACGTCTGCTCTAGAGAGAAAACAAACGAGCTTTTGAGCTTTTGATTTTTTTTTTTTAGAAACAGCATCAATGACTATTACCACCCAATAAGATTATGACTTAGTAGCTATATATGTAATTATTTATGTGAAACTTAAAGCTTTCAACACATGGACAAAAATCTAAAGGTTTTACAATGTGATTGCTACAAGATTTCTTATTTCTCCAACTCATTGAGAATAATGGAAATGTTCATCATCTAGCACTGAAAGTTAAGGGTTCTTTTAAACTCAAGATGCACACGCAACCTATTATTTAACTTTATCATTATTATTTAAAGCTTAAATATAGCAGATCTTGCTGGCAGCATTCTATTATAGGCACAGTTTCTCAAGAGTTTATGACTCAATGGTTTGAATTCACATAAGAACAAAATAGCACATAAAGTTGCCAGCCTGTATTTAATTTGTTTTCTAAAAAGGAATTAAATGGGTTATTTTTTGAAACAAATAGTACAGAGGATATATAAATTAATACATATTTTTCAAAGATCCATATTTTATTGTCACAGAAAATGAAACTGGCTAATATTATAACATCGATATTTCTCTCATTTAAATTCAGTCTCAATTGCAATTCTATGTAACTAAGTTTTAAATCATTATAATCACTATGATTATTAATAGTAATCTTAAAAATGATATTCTGCACAATATTATACCCTTAACATATATTTAAAAGGACATAAGGTAGACACTGGTAGAATTACTATTCATCAGAAATACTTGAGATCTTTACAAAAAAGGGCAGCAAATAGCTGAAAGAAACTTGTAATTTTATAAATCAAAACATTAGTTAAATATACTGAGAGAGTTGTATAAAATTTTTTTATCATGTTTTCTGCTGTGTGAAAAAGTTCCATTTATTGATATAATATTTTATTTTTACTGTGACTTAAAAATGTGACAGAATAATTAAGAAAAATATAGACTTTCATTATTATGATATAGAATGTGGTATAATACATCTAGCTGTGATGCATTACACAGGATAATAATTGTTGATGGCATTAGAGGTATTCATCCAGTCCCACAAAATGTTGTTGCTAGGACGGCATTACAGTATGGTCTATGAAAATCACTATAAATAAATAAAGATTATTAAAACACACACACATAAACATAAAGGAAAAGCTCTTTGAAAAGATCAATAAGAGTGATAACCCTTTAGGAAGTCTGATCAGAAAACAAATAAAAACAAAACAAAACAAAAACAGAAAGAGAGAGGAAACAATGACAAAGACACTACAGACAACACAGGTGTCAAAAGGATAATAAGGGAATAATAGTATCTCTACATATCCAGATTCGACAATGTAGATGAAATGGGCCAATTCCTTGAAAAGTGCAACTAATACAATTCATCCAACATGAAATAGATAATTTCATGGCCTTATAACTATTAACACATAGAAACCATAATTTTTAGAACTCCCTAAAAAGAAATCTGGCTCTGGTGATTCCCTGGAGAATTCTACAAAATATTTTAAAAGAATTAAAAACCAATTCCATATCATTTCTTCCAGAAAATAGAAAAGAAAAAAAAAGAAAACCTCTTTGCTTACTAAATCTGTAAATCCAGTATTATCTGACTTCAAAACCGGGCAAAGTCAGTAAAAAATTCTAGAAGATAAAATAGTAAAAATTGATGATCTAGACTTGATGAAGAGTTTTTATACATAACATTAAAATCACAATCAATAAAAAATAATAACTGATAAACAGGGCTTCATCAAAATAAAAATTCTACTGTGCAGAAAACCCAGTGAAAGAGATTAAAAGACAAGATATAGACTGGGACAAAACAATTGCAAACCACATAAGCAACAAAGGAAACATATATATGATATATATAACTATATATCATATATATATGACTGATATATATTTACATATTTGTGTATATATATACGTATATACTCAGTACGAAAGTCAAACGTATCCAACACTACGTATCCCAACAGTATGAAAGTCAAACAAGTCCAAATAGAAAATGTGCAAGAGACATGAAGGAATATTTTTTTTTTCCTCCTATGAAGTTTTGCTAGAAAAACTCCTATTCCTTCTGTTATTGTTCTTAACACTCTACAATTTACTTTTGAATGGTTTACTTGCCAAATAGTTGGAAAGGATTATTGGTTTAAGAAAAGCCCCAATCAGCAGAGATTATTATATCTTTAAAATACCACAAATAAGTCTGGAAAGTTATCCGGCATCTTGCTGTTTCTGTAGCTGGACAACTTACATCTATTCATCAGCCTGCTGAACTGTTCCCTTTGAAGAAACATAGATTTTCCAAAAATTTTCTACATCCTTGTTTTTAGCTGTTGTGGCTTGCTGAATCAAAGCAGCTGAGTTTGATACAAGTTCAGTGTCATTTCCTTCAAGAATTAATTCCTCTTTCTGGGCTTGAAATACTGAACAAGCAACACCTGGCCTCAACTGAACCCTGCAGATGTATTTTTCACCCGAGAAATTCTGGATTTCAATAAGAGAACCCTTCTCCTGAATAACAACATTGATGGGGAAGTGAGCATACACAGGCCTCATCTTGTAACAGAAGCACAGTGTAACGCCCTTGACCGTGTTCTGTACGTGACCACAGAAAGCATCAATACTAGCCAGTTGTTTTCCATCTTCCACCATTTGTCACCTTGGAGCCTCTTCTGTTTCTTTCCAAGGAGATTGAGTTCTACATTGATGTGATGGAAGTCCCTTCGCAGGGTTCCTCTGGGGCCCTTCACAATAACAGCGCATCCCTTTAGAATGATGTCAACATTTTCTGAAATGTCAGCAGTCTGATTGCTGAGAATGGTCTTCATTCTCACAGTAGATGTAGCAAAGAGCAACACGAAGGAATATTTCATTGATAAGTACATGTGCATGGCTAATAAACACATGATAAACTTTTCAACATCATTAGCCATCAAAAAATGCAAATTAAGTCAGTGTTGAGACATCACTACAAACCTATTAGAACAGCTAACAGAATAAAATGAAACAGTGGCAGTATTAAATGGCAATGAGATGCAGATAAACTAGATCTTATGCATTGCAGGTGGGATGCATGTTCAGTGGTACAGCTACTCTAGAAAATATTTTCAGGGGCGCCTGGGTGGCGCAGTCGGTTAAGCGTCCGACTTCAGCCAGGTCACGATCTCGCGGTCCGTGGGTTCGAGCCCCGCGTCGGGCTCTGGGCTGATGGCTCAGAGCCTGGAGCCTGTTTCCGATTCTGTGTCTCCCTCTCTCTCTGCCCCTCCCCCATTCATGCTCTGTCTCTCTCTGTCCCAAAAATAAATAAACGTTGAAAAAAAAATTTAAAAAAAAAAAAGAAAATATTTTCACAATTTGTTTAAAGCTAAACATGCATTTACCATATGACCCATATGTGTTTATCAAATGGTCTCCTACAGTTTATCTCAGAAAAATGAAAACCTACGTCTACACTCTGTGTACTTGTACATATGTACTTGTACATAATTGTTTATAACAATTTTATTTGCAATAGCCAAAAAGTGGAAACATAAAAATGTCTCTCTGTTGTACATCCATACCATGAAATACTACTGATAAATAATAAGTGTTTATTTGTCAGTAACGTGCAACAAATTGTATGGATCTCAAAGACATGTTGAGTGGAAAAACTTAGTTGTACGACGTATGTTTCCATTTATATAGCATTCTGGAAATGACAAAATTATAGAGATGAAAAATACATTAGGTCTTGCCGGCTGTTAGAAGTGGTCAACTGGGCGCAGGTTTGATTATTAAAAAAGAACCATGAGGGGGGGTGCCTGGGTTGGCTCAGTCGGTTAAGCGTCCAACTTCGGCTCAAGTCATGATCTCGCGGTTTGTGAGTTTGAGCCCCGCGTCGGGCTCTGTGCTGACAGCTCAGAGCCTGGAGCCTGCTTCGGATTCTGTGTCTGTCTCTCGGCCCCTCCCCTGCTCATGCTCTGTGTCTCTCTCTCAATAATAAATAAATGTTAAAAAAAATTAAAAAAAAAAGAACCATGAGGGAAATTACTGGGGCATGGAATAGTCCTGTATCTACACTGTGCTATTGATTACACAAATCTACATTTGTGACAAAATGACACGGAATTATACACATACATCGTTCCAATGTCAAAATTTCTATTTTTGATATTGTATTAAAACTATGTAAGATGTAACCAGTGGGGGAAACTGGGTGAAGAGTAAGAGTCTTCTCTGTATTATATTTACAACTTCTTTGGGTATTGATTATTTCCAAAATTAAAGTTAAAAGGCAAATAAAAAAGTTAATACAGAAAGAAAACCAAATTAACCTGCAAAATCTTACACAGCTGGAATTGCTTTTTTATTTTTATATTTTTTAATGTTTATTTATATTTGAGAGAGAGCAAGAGGGAGACAGCTCAAATGGGTGGGGCAGAACGAGAGGGAGACACAGAAACCGAAGCAGGCTCCAGGCTCTGAGCTGCCAGCACAGAGCCCGACGCGGGGCTCGAACTCACCAGCCGCGAGATCATGACCTGAGCCTAAGCTGGACTCTTAACCAACTGAGCCACCCAGGCCCCCCTACACAGCTGGGATTGTAATTGCAGTGCTCTTTCAAAGATATTTCAGATATTTCAGAGGTTTTCAGCAGTTGAATAATTAAATAAGACTTACTAGATCCCGAAACCATTATTAAACTATGTGTTAACTAACTTCATTTTAAATTAAGAAAAAAATGGGATGCCTGGGTGGCTCAGCCGGTTGAGCATCCGACTTTGGCTCAGGTCATAATCGCATGGTTCATGAGTTCAAGCTCCGCATAGGGTTCTGTGCTGACAGCTCAGAGTCTGGAGCCTGCTTCGGATTCTGTGTCTCGCCCTCTCTCTACCGCTCCCCTGTTTGTGCTCTCTCTCTCCCTCTCTCTCTCAAAAATAAAAATTAAAAATTAATTTTTAAAGAAATATTGATTGAATATGTGAACTTCAAAAGGATTATTTTCTTAGCATTGTTTTGGAATTTCATAGAATTATGAATAATCATTGCATATTGTGTCAAATATTTCTATTATTAAAAAAGTATCAGTTGATCTTTAATTATGACAATCACAACTGGAAATGTACTAGTATTCTTTTTTACTGATTTTTTAAAATAAATTTAAACAGATCATAGTAAAAATTAAGTCCATGCATTTTCCTGTGGAAATCACATTGGCAACAATTTAATAAAATATTTAAAGATGCAACATTTATCTGGAAACAACATAATCAATAAATCCAAATCAGAACAACATATTTATAAATATATTAACTCAAGGATTAAAAGTCATAACACACTAAAGACAACACAGATGCTGCACTAAAAAATGCAACATGCGTCATAAAATGCAGAGGGACTCTTAATATTTGTGTGAATGCGCATGCAGATAGGAGCTTTGTAACATTGCCAAGCATTGTGTGACAGCTGGCCTTAGCAGAATGCTGAATAAAATCTTTAATGTAACTTTCTGTTACTTTCTTTTCTTTTCTTTTTTTTTTTTTTTAGGAAATGAATATCAAATGTCTATAATGCTAATAATTATCTTAATAGATTAATAGTGAGTTACTCATGCTAAAAGTGAAAATCTGTGGGATTCATGTCATTGCTTATAACAATTGAAGTAGTAATGCACATTTTTGTGTCTTAGCCATTTGGAAAAACATTCTTCTGTCCTCTCTATTTTATGACCCTTCATAAGTGATGGGCTGCTTTCTTATGTTTTGGAGGTTTAGATGCTGGCAAGGTCACACAAGCGGAAACTAATTAGCAGGCTTGTTTCATAAGGGAGAATTGAAGTGTTGTCACGTGAAATAAAGGTTCTGCCTTCATACACTCGGGTTCTATTAGTCTTGAAATGCTGACTCAGGACCCAGAATGGGTATCAGAGAATAATAATAATAACAACAACAACAATACAAAGTAGATATCCTACCATATTCCATCATTGGACTAAATACTTCATACATATAAGCTAATTTAATCTTCACAACATCCCTATGATGAAATAACAATTGCCATTTTTTTTTAATTTTATAAGTGAAGAAACTAACAGGACAGAGATACTCTCACAACTGTTTTCAAAAATACACATTTTAAATAGCATGTACCCATTTTTTAATTTTATTTTTAAAATTCTTTATATTTTTACATTTTTTTTTATTTGGTTTTGCTTTTTGTGTTTTTGTTTTGTTTTGCCATTTAAAACATCAATCCTTTGTTTATCACAGAACATTTTAGATAATAAGTCATGTATTCAGTATTTAGTCATCAAGTACCTGTTGTGTCCCTACTAAGTTTGCCTCAGACTGTGTCCTTGGGGTGCCTTATGGTTCTTTAATCTAAACAATTCATGTGTAATGTGCTCATAAAAACGTATGTGAAAACTGAAATGTCTTGAATGTAAGGATGAAGTCCAGTGGAAATTACAGTTGATCTGGTACAAGTTTGTTTAATATGTAGTCTGAGCATTTTCTCTACTTGAATGATTTCCTGTCTCTTTTAATGCTTTTTGACTATTATCTCAGTTTACAGTCATTTCTTCCTAAGAATTAGAATGTGAGCTTGGGGCGCCTGGGTGACTCAGTCGGTTAAGCATCCGACTCTTGATTTCAGCTCAGGGCATGATCTCAGGGTTTGCAGTTTGTGAGTTCAAGCCCCACATCGGGCTCTGCACTGGTGGTGTGGAGTCTGTTTGGGATGCTCCCTCTCTCTCTCTGCCCCTTCCCTGCTTGCTCTCTCTCTCTCTTTCAAAATAAATAAACTTTAAAAACTTAGAAGGTGAGCTTCAACATACTCTTAAGAACAAAGACAGGGGAAAGGAGAAGGGATTTGTTCTATTTTCTACTTTCTGAGACCTATGTATTCTGTTTTCTAGCATCCAATACAAACAACTCTGTTTTCACAAATGAATCTATTCTTGTGTCTAATCAGTGCCCACACTATCAAACTTTTGTTTAGCAAGAACTCTAATAATCTTACTTTGTGAAGACCTAAATAATAATTTTGTATAATTATGGAGTTTATCATCTCGATATAGGGAATAAACATTCTATCTTAAGAAAAGTTATTTTAATTATGTAGGCAATTTAATGTATTAGATACATTTGTGTGAATTAAAGCTTTCAAATATATTTATATAATTATATACTTATTTTAAATACCAGCATGATTAAATTATGATATATGAACTCTAAATATGATTATTCATTAAAAGTGAAAAAGATATAGAAAAGTCCTTTAAAATAACTACAACTTAATGTTACTTGCTTTCCCCTCCCTAGTCTGAGAAGAAGAAGAAAAAAATTTATAAATTGTTTTCAAATGCTTTGGTAGATTATTTAGCATCAATTACATTTATTGTTAGTAATGTTTTCTCAGTTTATATGGACATGGTTTATAGGGAAAATCACATTTTATATTAATGTTTGCAAAGAAATCAAAAAGCCTACCTCAGTAATGATATAACATGTTCATTTATTGAAATAATGATGATGGCAATTTTAGAAATAATTTTGTTAATGGAAGAGTGATTCATTGTTAGTGTGATATTTGAACCTATTGACATCATTACAAATGGCTTACTAGATTCCCTAGAGCTTTTTAGTGTACTCTTTGGCAGTTACTTAAAAGGAAAGACATCAATGTCTGCCAATTATCTTTGGGGGAAACAGAGAGTACTAATGCATTCAGACATATTAGATTTGGTTAAAAGGAAAGGGGACTGGTACAGGTTTTTCTTTGTCTTGAAAATTCAATGGAGTGAAATCCTAAAGAAAAAAAAAGTCTAAATAGGAGTAAATTGACAAAT